AAAATTATATATTCCCCAGACATAGCATATAATTCAGAATGAGCTGTTAAAGAAGTCTCCTGTGATTGTGACAGTCCTGTGTGGGTTAATTGGTAGAATTGATGTGTCAGATGTCTGTAACTAAGGAAGCAGTGAAGCACTGCATTTAAGATCCAAGTTGAGATAATATAAAATAAAGCAGAGGTCAGATGGAAAAGCTGCGTAAGGCAATGAATGCAGTTTTCACAAATCTTGGCCCCTGTATGTGGAACACTCTGGGTGTACTTAGGTCAAATACCGGACATGCTCCTTAAGGATAATGTGGTCTGTGTCATGGAGTGCTTTGGAGCAGACACCAGAAATGTGTTCCTAATTCCAAATGAGTCAGGCAGATACATTAACTTGGAGTTAATTATTTTTTTACAAAGGAGAAGACCAAAGGAATATAACCATATTTAGACTCCATATATTAAGGAATTTTTATTCTTTGGCTTCCACAGTAGAACTTACTAGAGATACTTGTTTTTCCTCAGTTTTGTTACTCATTTGACTTTTGGATTCAATTTATTATTTTCAGACATTAGTCCTTTCTTCTGAGCTCTGAAATGTGGAATGTAGCAGAGTGTGTTATTTCTCCTATGTTAATGGATACACCAGATCCTCAATGGTGTCTTATATCACGTTGTACACTGGGGATTGTAGCTCCAGAGTTCAGGGACTGATCAGCTGAGGATGTTAAGGAATTTACAAATGATCAAGATTACTTAACCTTAAGAATATCTTTGGATCTGAAGCAACTGTTTGTTCATTTTCTCTAACAGTGGAAGTACTGTATCTGAAACTACATTAACCTTTAGATTTTTCAGTGGACTCAAATGCTTTGAAAATGTAAAACAATACAGATTTAAGGTTGTTCCTTCATTATTCTTTCTTCTCAAGCAACAGAGAGCTGTTTATAATCTGTGTGACTTTGAAAGTTATTTAATTGTGTCTAGTAGAGGGTTATCCTGGACATGACTCTGCGCTCTGCCCAGCAGGATACCATGTTGGTGGCAACTCATCGACTAGATCAGGTAGTGTATATTTGGTGGATCTGGGAGAAAAATGCATAGAGAGGGACAAAACCAGGAGAGCGGCTCAGAAGGAAAGAAGTACTTAGAATAAAGAAGATAAAAGGAGGGCGCTGTGAGGCAAGAAAAGACATGAATAAACAAAAGCAGAAAATGCAAAGAGGAGAATGATACTACTTAGGAGATTCCTGCTGTCCTTGGCCATGTCTGTGGAAATATAAGGCAAAGGGCACAAACTCAAGCCGTGTGAGTACATTCGTTTGTAAACGCAGACACTGTCAGCATTTGTATTTGGCACTGGGTACTAGGCTCTGTGACTGTGAGTCCCTCTTTCTTCTCAGCTCTAGGCTGCATCATTGTCAGGTGGCTTTGTGGCTCCAGGCAGTCCTCCAGCTCCCCCTCCTCACTACTACCTACACTCCCACAGAGTATAATTTGTGTAACTCATCACTCAAGTTGAGTGTGTCACAGCGTCACAGAAGTTACTTCTTAATACACAAGACACACATGTGTATCTGTACCTGACCATTCTTTGTCCTTGTCCCACTTTACTTAATGGCAATTTGTTGCATATTTCATGTTGTCCCTGCTTTCCCATTCCTGAAACTCTAACAGCTGGTAGAGAGGAGGTAGTTGTAGGGGCAGAAGTAGAAGCAGAGATGGAAGACATTTAAGAGTCACCATAGTGGGAGAGTAGAAGTCTCTAAAGTTGATAGGTGCTGAAGAACCTTGAGTTTGATTTGATACTGGTTCCTAACTAGGACTTGGACTGGTCCTCCTTCACGCATCCTCACTGCATTGTATCCACACAACCTCCTTGAGCTGGTCACACACTTTTAGGTTGCAAGGAACAGAGACATGTTCAGGTTGCTTGGGTGATAGAGATCTATGTTCAGAATAATCAGATTAGTTGATAAGGCACTCAGATTGTAAAAATTCTCCAGTGGGGAGGCTTGTGCTCTTCTGCCTTTGTCTCAGATTTGCTTCAGAACTTAGATTTAGTTCAGGGTACTATGAAGTAAATCACTTATAACCTCAGTTTTTACATTTGAAAAATAATACATGCCTATTGGGAGCTCTGGTGGCATAGTGGCTAAGACACTTGCCTGCTAACCAGACGGCTGGCGGTTCAAACCCACCAGCCACTCCTCGGAAGGAAGGTTGGGCAATCCTA